CCTTATAACTCCGGGGACGCGCGTAGGGGAGACACGGTTAGAGGGCCTGAGCATGGACGTGGCGTGGACATGGACTAATCACCAGTGCCACCCCTACTTACACGTAGCGAACATTTGCTGATTTCTTATTTTCTCTGACGATGGCTTCTTGTTTTGGAGCTGAAAGCTCAGAAAAATTGAATTGCCGTTCCAGAGATCGCGTCTTCTTCTTCTTCTTCTTCTTCTTCTTCTTCTTCAGAATAAGAACCTTGGGCACGCATATTTGCTTATATCGTGATTATGAAAATGATACTACTTATAAGAAGAGAGTAGAATGTTTTATAGCGTATACATATCTGCGTTCGCGTTATAACGTGTGAGTTGTGTTTCTTACAGATGACTTGGTTGTACTTATGAGTACACTGATCAAGCTTTCTCTTAAATTTGTCCTCGGATAGGGACATGACAGTGCCCGCAGTAGAGCATTTCATACATTTATTTGTCGCACGTTGGTTGAGGGGATGTCCTTGCAAGTTGGTGGTAACGGCCAGCTTGAAGACGTCGTTGGATACGAGGCAACAATCCCGGTTCAGCAGCACGCGAAATGCCTGTCTTGGGTCACCGCATAGCTGTCTGTAATCCAGAGAAATCAAGTAAATATTGGCCACTGGACATATCTGCGCATCATCTGATTCCTGAATTCTACTTTTCGTTGAAATGCAGTGTGAGCTGCCTTTATGTTCTCATGCCGCACTTCTCAAATGCTATTGCGCTTCGGTTCGAATCGAAATGAGTCATCTGCGGAGACTTTTTGAGCCCAGAGCTTTGCGTCATCCGTAGTGTAGGTCTGGGCAGGTAAAGTGTATGTTTGATAGGAAATTCCCGATTGCTATTTTGAGGATCTAGGGTAAGGCGTTTATGTCATTAGTTCAAATGTAACACAGTCCCAGAGAGAGTAGTGTCAGCCTTTCGCTTATTGATTCCCTTCATGCTTTGTTGTAGCTGTGCGTGAATTTGTGTGTGAATTTTGTGGAAAAGCTTTTGCCGCGAGGTCAAACTTGAAAAGACACATTAAGGCTATCCACGAAGGTGCGTTCTATTTTTCCTGATGACTTTCTGTTTGAATTGTTAGCATTAGTTTGTTTGTAAGGCCGCCAACCTACAGGAAATCTCAGTTGCCGCCTTCAGTATTATGCGTATAGTTGAAGAGGATTAGTTGCGTGCCTAGGCACCGACTCACAGCCACATGTCCTGGTCACCTTATGGCCCTATCTTGGCTCGTTAAACATAATTAACAGGGAAACAGTAGTGAAATGCGCGTTAATTGTTCTGTGAGTAACTTGCGCTGCACTTCACTGTTTTCAGCCACTATCTCTTGAAGTGACGCGAGAGGCCTTTGTTTAACGTACACTAAACGCAACACATACTTTTTATGCGGTTCTGACGCAAGGGTGCGTTGCACTCTGTCCGACACTGATCGCAACCGAATCTGTCTAGTGTAGGATCTTTTCAACAGGATATATCTGCACAGTAGTTTCAGTCTTTTATGCATTGATTCCCTTTATGTTGGTTGTAGAGCTGCGTGATTTTGCGTGTGAAGTTTGTGGAAAAGCCTTTTCGGACAGGGCAAACCTGAAGAAGCACATGAAGGCTACTCACGGAGGTCCGTTCCTTTTTTTCTGGTGACATGCCGTTCTATTTTTATTATTTGTTCGTTTTTAAGACCGCCAGCTAACTGGAAATCCCAATTCTCGCATTCAGTGTTGTAGATATATTTGAATAACACAATAGCGACATTCTTGTGAATCGTTTGCTAGTGTAGTTGACTTTCACATTATTTCCCATGCTGTGTTCATGCACGCCAAAGTTCTTCGTATGGCAAGAGAAAGTAAGGACATCTGAGGTAGGCTCATACCCCATGAATGGCAACTTTTACGTCATATTCGCACGTACCTCAACTCACCTTGTGATAATACTGGAGGGAATATTTTTCGACGTAACGCTAGGCCTTCGTTTAACGTATTGCACATGCTTTCCGTTTGTGTTTAACGCAACTACACAACTGTCGTGCCACCTGGATCTAGGCGTCCGGTCGTGAACTAACGTTCTACCGGACTTGTTAAGGAAGTATGCAAAACTGTGCTACGGATCTGCCTTGACAGTGCATAGCGTAGCCTAAGCTGTCTGTTATTTTCTCCTCTAGATCGACGTAACCTATTTCGCAGATTTATCTGGTTCATGAGACATCTGACTATTTTCGTGTTAACGCTTGGATGGTTCGGTCCTGTTTCGACTGCCGCGCCTTTTTGCCTCATTTTAGTCTGATTTTCATGCCACACACGTGGATCAGAAATTTCATTTTTCGGAAACTGCACCCACACCCAGCTCTACCTCCATCCCCCCGCCCCCTTATTTACCTTTTGCTAACGAGACAGGAGCAAGCGGATTCATTAAATCATGTGTTTTCTTTTGCCCTTCAGAACAGGAGAAGTATGACTGTGACATTTGCGAGGAAGTCTTTGTACTGGAAGGAGACCTGAAGAAGCATACGCGCGATTTTCACCGAGGTACTGCCTTTCCATGTTTCTTTTTTCTTCATCATCTTCTTAACGGATGGTGGCATTATCTGTCTTTGTGTTTGCACGTTACCCTGGCTTACAGTTGATCATTTTTGTCAAAAAATGTAGGATCGGATTTTCCTAATTCCAGGGCCTTAGTTGCGGCATTACCAACTGACTTTATGTCTGGGCTTACTCCAGGATTACATGTTGCTCTCTTCGTAGGACCTTTTGGTAGGCCAAGACAAAAGAAAATATAGGAAGTGAAGCTGAAATAGTGGATGTAGGGGCACTGGATAGCCTCATCTGGTGTGACTTGTAGGGGTCTAAGTAACGGTTGTACTCGGATCACCACAATCATCAGACCAAATTCCTAGATTGAAGGTAAAAGACAGAAGTCACCAGAAGCAGTGATTTATTGTGTACATAACTCCTTTTTGCTGTCCCAGACGGCAGTGGCCACTGGCGAAGCCGGGGCTAGTGCTGACCGTGTCCAGCCAGACCTGAAAGAACATGAGACAGTGGTGGCAGTTGCGTAAGTAGAATTGCGGAGCAGGTTCAACTGTTGGTGTATTGCAATTTGCCTGAGGGGGTGTCGTTTGTGGAGGTCTTTGCTGCATACGCCGAGTGGTGGCCCTTAAGTAGGTGTGCTTATTTATACGCAGGTGTACAGCTTCTCACAGAAATGTTTGGCTCATAATCCTGCTGACTGTTGTAGGCGTAAATCTTGGATGGTTTAGTTTTGTGTCGACTGCGGCGTCTTTTGGCCTGGTCCGCACCCTACACTCCCGGATCAGCAATTTAATTTTATCGGCAACTGCGCCCACGTCCACCGCTTACCCTTGCCTTGAAATGTCGTTACGTTTTAGCTGTGTTACCCTAGTTCAAGCTGCTTTCCCGCATTAAATTTAGCAGGCCGGCAACTGTACCATACACAAAGTTCTTACTGTCGCACTTCCAAGCCCCGGCAATTTTTGATACTTTTAGACATCTAAAAAAGCAAGCAGTACTTTTGTTTCAAGTGTTGTGTAATGATGGTATGTTAGCACCTTAAGGCGCAACACTTTCTCTTTTTTAATGTAATTTTTATCTCTTCACAATATTTTTTAGAATCCACATCAACGTGATAATTTCGCCTGCTCTGGAACGGTCTTTTCGCGATTGTGCTCTTTTTACTTTGCATTTATTTTGCTGGCATTTTGTACGGCATTCCAGTCTTTTTATTTTTTTAACAAGAAAAACCCAATTGAATAAAGCCACTTGTTGTGTCGCTCCTGTCTTGATTTCCCTACCGATGTTCCAGATGAACGTTTGCGTCTGCCAGCGTTAACATCAATTTCTTAGTTTGCCTAGGCTTGTGGTCGACATCGCTCGCCCTCCCCCCACCCCCATTTGGGTTTGTTTCGGCGTCTGTTGACTTCGTAGCATTCCAGACGTTTACCGAACTGTTATGCTCTGTCTTGGTACGGTGGAGTCATATCGACTCATATTAGCATTAGGATTTATGTGTTTTTGTGTGTGTGTGTGTGTGTTACAAATAAGTATGCGTTGGCGCGCAGAATGATGGATTCTTCGTTATCGGCCTCATTCTTCTCTCTCTGTGTCTAAAGTCACCCTGCTCGCGAGGTTATTCGTCAAAGGTGTTTCGTACCGTATTTGACTGGAAGTTACTTCCATGTTCTAAGCAATCCTTAGTGGGTGTTCCGATTTAGCTTAGTGGTTTTTCTATGTGCAATCTATA